AGGAAGGAAGGAAGGAAGGAAGGAAGGAAGGAAGGAAGGAAGGAAGGAAGGAAGGAAGGAAAAACATTAAGACAGGAACAACAAATTACAAAAATGCCAGAGCTTACCAAAGATCAAAGTTTTAAAATGGCATTAACTTAGAAACTTACTATGACTGGACATAATTGAAGAGAAAAAAAGTGGGAGAATTTGAGAGACGGATCCGCAGAGCTGTCCCTGTTTGACAGAGATAGAAACCAGAAAAGGGAAATTAATAAATGAGGAGAGAATGAGACGCTACAGCCATTGCAGCTCATTCTTTCATCCCCAGTGATCAAAGGATAAAACAAAGGCCCTGAAACTCAAACACACAAAGGAACAAATCCACATTTGCTGACTCACCGGGCCAGACAGGAAACACCACAAAGAAACCCACTGAGTGGTCTGCTAAGAGAGAGAGGCAGCAGACTCCCCAGAAGGTTCTAGAAGGGCTTGTAGGGCTGATCAGGGATGGAGAGCTAGATCTCTAGATGGGACAGAATGGATTCCTGGGTGTGTGCACAGTTGGTTAAAACAAGTTCCACGTTCATAGGGACCAGGGAGGTCTTCACTCAGGCTTGCCACAGCAGTGGGATTCAAAGTCTATGACCAATATTCAAGTCGGATATCGACCGTAGGTTCGTCTTTACCACAATGACAATTTCAATCCTCAGCCAACCTCCAGCCTCACTACTTCACCCCACACTGGGCCTTTGCTATCACTTCTTGCTAAACAGACAAAAACAACCTGAGACCACTCGGAAGGAATGTCTTCTCTTTAGCGGCATGTCCCCTTTCTCTGCCCGTTTCCATTAGACATCACGACAAAGAGGGCTGGGGTTGGGGTTGGGGTTGAGGTTTTTCCTTCCTAACCAATGTCAAAGTCTCAGGCTGTGCCCTGGCTCCCATTCCCCCCTGGCTTCTTAGGGAATTGGGGTCCTTGCTCTGTTTTCTCTCCCCTGTCTTCACTTCTCCTTCTCTACACTCCGAGAGCATTTGAACATGTTCAATCCCCTCCCGCCTTAAAAACACCTTCCTTGGCCCACACAGCCTTCCTGGTAAGGCCACTCTGTATTCGTGTTGCCTTCATACCAACCATATTGCTCCCATGGCACCCACGCCCCCGCACAGCTGAGTGTCTGGAACAGAGCGGCACCCATCATTCTTTGTGCCATGAGTGAAATGTGTGGCTGCGGCTCTTTACAGGAAGCTCCTAACACTGCTCATGGGAAGTCTAGCTCAGCCTGGGGAGATGCTGAACACCCCCAAAGGCAGCCAAGGTTCAGAACCTCTAATGGGGAGGGAGAAGAACAGAAGGCCCAGAAAGAAGACTCAGGGGGAAGTTAGGGTGATAATAAAGAGACTAAGAAGGATGGCCCCTCAGAGGCCCAGGTCGTGTCTGCACCAACCTCTGTGGCCTGTCCTGGTCTCAGGGTCCAGCATTTCTCTCTGGGCTCTGCCAGGGCCCATCACACTAGTCCTATCTAAGGTCTTTCTCATAACTAGACTTCAACCACAGCCTCCTGGAGGGGACCCAGTCCCTAAATACTCACACTCATGCCACAGCATGGGCCCACCCCCACATGCACATGGCATGGGCAGCTGAAGTCCTGAGAAGCCCCACCATCGAGGGCACCTCACTTCTGACCCAAAGGACTCCCTCCCAGGGAGGCTGGGGAGTGTGGGCCCCCAAAGACCAAGAGTAGACCGTTTCTCAGTGAACGTGGCTCTCTGATGCACCTTACAGCGCTATGCAGTAGGGATCCCCAGTCTTCCGGCAGCTCTGGGTGGTGGCTGCCTCCCCTAGCCTCTGCATCCTGGCCCAGCTCTGTCCCCACCCACCCCAGCCCACACTTCCAGAAAGAACAGCCCGGAGACACTGTGTATGTGGAGCAAAGGGTACTGGACTCAGGGTCAGGAAACCAGAGGATTTTGCATCAAGCGATAACTCTTATCTATTGCCCTGAGAGGTTTCACTGAATGTGAAACAATCACACCGCTATGGGGCTCTTTTTCACTCCGGGGATCTGGAAGCCCTGGGAGGGTCTCCCCAAGATGGAGGGGCCTTGGGGCCCCCCTGAGCCACTGTGTTTACCCTGAAGGGTGGGTTAAGAGTTGGGTAGAAAGAGTGTGCCATGGAACACTCTAGTCAGAAGACCCAGGGAAGTCAAGCTCCAGAGAGGAAAAAATGAACCTCTTCCCTCGGGAGTCGGCTCCCTCCCTTGGCTGGCTGGCGTCCCGCGGGGCCCAGCACAGCGTAGGCGCAGAGCAAGTCAGAGAGACCTGGTGGCTGACAGCTCAAGAGGTAGGACTTGTGCAAATGATCTGAACACTGGAGGCTGCTTCTCTCTGCGGAACATGGAGCTCACACCTGCTTCTCAGGGTTGAGGCAAAGAATAAGGGAGACAGAATGCACACAGTGATTAAAGAGGTGTCCAGACTGAGAGACCTCCATAAATGGAGGCCGCCAGTGCTTATGTCCTTTGCAGGGCTCCTCACTGCCTGTTAATGGGGTAGAAACTGCGCAATAAAAGAAAGGGAGATGTGATATCCTTCTTTTTTATATAGATCAGGTCTAGTAAAGACAGTGTGAAACAACAGCCATGTTTACTAAGTGGGGCTTTCAGAGGTCGGGACTCAGAATTTCCAGTCTGCGTTACAGCCACAGCCCAGCCGTCTGGCAGTGAGTGGCCGAATTCCACAGGCAGGCTCGGGCGGTGCCTGGGTGCGGCCTGGGAGCCACAGGAGGGATCCAGAGCCAGGCAGGGCCCAGAGGGAAAGGGAGGGGATGGGGGCGGCGCTGGGTGGGGCCTGGGGCCTGCTTGCACCACCACACCCACCCGCAAGCGACCTGGCCTGCTCATCGGGAGGGCCAGTCCTGTGCCATCTGGGAGTAGAGGAAAGGTGGACACGTACGTCCTCGTCTCTCTGGAGAAAGGCGATTGAGAGGCGAACAAGATGGCCTGGTGGAAAGCCTGGGTAAGTGTGGAGCGAGCAGGGGTGGAAGGTGTGGGTGGACAGATGTCAGCTCAGTCAAGCATGACGCTGCCTGCCGGCCAGGCACCAGGCTGCCCACGGAGGAGGCAAGAGAGAAGAAACTGTCCCAGCCCTAGAGGCACTCACAGTTAGGAGGGAAGTTGAGGGAGGAGGGGCAGACAGATAAAGGAACCCTGAAATGCACTGAGGGGAGCTGAGGGGCTGAGGAAGCCCAGAGGACGAGCCCCAGCAGGGAGGAGTGAGGCTGCTCAAAGCTAGGGCTTATCATGTGTGAGCCATCTGTGCGTGTGTGTGGTATGTATGCACATCCATGTGTTTGAGGAGAATTGAGCAGATGGTTCGTTGCAGAGAGAACATATGTGCAAAAAGCCCAGAAGGGTGGGAAGCTTGGCTTTGGAGCGAAGTAGCTCCAGAGAGGGCCCTGAGTAAGAGGGGAGAGGAATGGGGGAGATAGACCTGAAGAGACAGGCGGGACAGGTCCTAAAAGGCCTCACATGGCAGGCCAAGGGGCTTGGGCTTTACCCTAAGGGTAATGGGGAGCCACTGAAGATCCTTGAGCTGATGAGCAACGTGATCAAATTAGCTGATGGAGGATTGATCAATGCCTACACCTCAGGGCATGGGAGGGCCAGCAGGCCTCCAGGGATCAAGACTTATTCGTCCAGATTGAGGAAAGAGAAGAGAAGGAGGGAGGACCTGGCCCACAGGGGCCTTGAGTGGCTAAAATCCATGCTTTATAGAGTCATGGAGGCCTGAGGTAGGGAAGACCGCAGAGCCTGTCCCCGAGTCTCCTACTGAACTAACAGATTCTTGGGAGTGTTTCATCTGGGTTTGAGTCTGAGGCCATCTCATGCTAAGGAGTTGACAACCCAAGAGGGGGACAAAGAGGACAAGCAGATGACATCTGCAGGTGACATTGTGCCCAGGCACGATGCCTTCATTTCGTCCCCAGGCACACCCAGGTCATCAGGGCTGCTCTTTCCATTTCACAGATGAGGAAACTGAGTCTCGGAGACACTGAGTGCCTGGCTCAGCCCCGGAGCTAGCAGGCAGGGATCTGGCTAGAATTCAGGTCACTCTCCACTCCTGTCCCTAAGCTCTCTGGGAGTGGCAGTGGGTGATCCAGGCTTATCCCGCTTCAGGAAATCTCTTTGTCACAAATGGCTCAACCCAGGGGCTGTCGGGGTCAGACATGCCAGACCTGGACAGAGAGGAAGCTAGCGGCAATGGTGGGGCAGTTGTCTGGGCCCCGGCGAAGCAGCAGGGACAGGTCAAGGGGCTAGAGTGGCCTCCAGTTTTGTCCTGGCCTGGCCTGATACAGACATGGCAAGGAGGGCCCACTTTTCCACGGTCAGCTGCTGGCCTAGCGGGGCCAGCTCTGGGCCTTGCTCCCCGTGCGGCAGGGACCCTACCCAGCCAGGCGGGCGAAGCCTCCTTGCGGGGACCTGCCAACCTGGCAAGATAACGATGGCCTTTGCTGAGCACCTACTGTGTGCCAGACATCATACTAAGCATCTCACATTCAATATCTCCCTTGAGCCTCGTCCCACCTCCACAACGTAGATGCCGGTGCCCTTATCCACAGGTGAAGAAGCTGAGGCACAGGAAACTCAGCAGGCCCCCAAGGTGGCCACATTAGTACGTGCTAGGGTCTGGGTTAGACTCTGAGAAGCCCAATTCCAGATCCCAAATGGTGGGCCTTGGCTGCCCAAAACCAGTGGGGAGATGGGCTTGGGGCAGCAAGATCCCAGGCAGACTGCCAGTGAGGACCAGGCCCAGGACTGGGGGCAGTGGTGGGGGAAGTGGTCTGTGCCTCTCTTACAGAGATGAAGGCCTGTCTCCCGGGCTCCCCAGGGCAGCCCCATGACGGGGGAGTGCAAAGGTGTGGCAGCTTAGCCGAACAGAGCTCTTACAGATAGAGTCGCAGGCAGGACTGACTGAGTCACCTTTTCAGTGAAAATGTTCCTGTCTGGACAAGCCCACTCCAGGCAAGGGGCCCAGACAGACTCTTCCTCCAACAGCGTGGTGTTTCAGATAGGAAGATCTGGAGCCCTATCCTGCCCTGCTTATATTCTGGGGTCTGATTCCAGATAATGGCACTTTTTATCCCCTAACACCATGGAGTGGGAAGAGAGGCTGAGCCTCCTCAATGCAGCAAAATCACAACAAACCCCCAGGGAGCGGCTGACTTACACGCCCACCGGAGCTGACCTCAGACTGGCTGAATGGGCTGCTCCCCAGTGACTCAGTCACTGTGCATTCACTGCCAGCTTGGGGGCAGGGAGAAAGTCCCTTCGGGTGGCACCCAGAGCTCAAGTTCCCAGACACCCTGTGGGCAAGGCTTCCCTTCAGTGAAGGGTTCCAGGAAAGTTCACTGTCTCGAAAAGGTGGAGTCATCAATAGGGTCGAGGAAGTACACAGAGCTCAGCTTCTGAGTCAGGTTATGGGAGCAGTGCCGACCCCACCACTTACTAGCTATGTCACCTGGACAAGCTCTCCGAGCCCAACTCCCTATCCTGTAAAATGCCACATCCATACCTACCTAGTGCGACTATTGGAGAGGTCAAGGAGCTGCACAGCACTGCCCTTACAACACCTAAACCAACTTGCACAAAGGGCCTGGCACAAAGGAGATGATCGACGGCTAACAGTAGGAATAGCAGCTCAGACTCCACAAACAAGGGATACTATGTATTCGTGCACAGGGGATCTTCTGGATGGAATTTGCACAAGGAATTGTTTCTTGTGCATGGTGCATGTTGCTAAGAAATGAGATAGGAAAATCTGTTACCAGACACTTGAAATTCAACCAAAGGTGTAGAAAGACTTTTTACCTCTTACTCAAAAGGAACATTCCTATAGATACCCCACAGATGGCAATCTGCCTTGTATTTTCAGGACCTAATCAGGGCTTAGAAGGATGGATGGATGGGTGAAGAATGTATGAATGAATAGATGGATACATGCAGTGATTAAATGGGTGCATGGATGGGTGGTTAGATGGATGTATGGATGGTTAGAAGGATGGACATGGTGACTAAATGAATGAATACATGGATGGATAGGTGGATGGGTGGATGTGGCCATTAATGTCTTGGTGGAGAGTGGATGGATGAATGAATGAGTGGGCTCAGGGGTGGGTAGGTGAGAAAGTAGATGAGTAGATGAGGGGCAGAGAGAAGGAGTAGGTGTACAGGTGCACAGGAGACCAAACACAATGGAACTAAATTCCTTTCCATTGAAAGATCTCTTGAGTCCTTCTTCAGATTCCAATCTCCTATCTCCCTCCACTCCTCTACTATCCCTTTCCCTCAAACACATACTTTAAAAAAGATTATTCATTTGGATCTGAGAAATTCTACAGGGCACAAATCTAAAGAGCTTTCAGGCCTGCCTTGGATTAAAGATTTGGCCCAAGTCAAAGGCCCAAGTACTTTCTCTTGTTTATATCACAATTTTCAGAGCACCATGCAGCTCTTTCTAAACCTAACCTTCTGTCCTCCATGAGCCCATGGACTTGCAAAGGCCCTAAGCAGTCAGGATGTTCAGCGGGGGATCCTGGCTCTCTACCTTCTTCTAAGTACCCACTTCTCAGCAAGGAGGCAGCTGGAGCTCAGACCATGCCTCTCTTCCCAACCTCGTCTGTACGCTCTCCAGGCAGTGTGTTCAGCTCCACGAAGCCTGTCCTTGCTTGCTCACTGCCCTAGCGGTTTGGGGTGGGTTGTCCTTTCCCACTGCCTGTCAACCGTGCTAGGGGTGGCCATGGGTAGGGCCTGGTCCCTGCCCTCAGATGGCACTAGCTGGGAGAGGCCTGGCCTGATCCAGAGACCACACCCCAGGGCAGGGGCAGGGGAAGGAGAGGTTGTGAGGCTCCCTCCCACAAGCTGTGGTTCTGACTGGTGCCAGCCTATTCACCAAAGAGTCGCTCTGTGGAGGTGACGTGGCAGTCCCACGGAGCCCAGAGGACAACCACAGACCCCTCACAGCCGGGCCAGGCAGGCTGTGGTCTCTCAGGGTTCCTCACCCAATAGCAGCTTCCCCACGCAGCTGACACCTGAGCGGCTGGCCTGCGTCAGAGACCTCCCAGGAGGGCTAACCCGGAGCTACGTGCGCACAGGATGTTCTGCGATTCGTGCTCCTTTGTACACACACCCTGCAGCGCCCCCTACTCCCTCACCCCGGGGGCAACCTGGGGGCTTAAGATTCTCTCTCTCTCAAAATAAAAATTCTCTCTCTCTCTCCCTCTGCCTCTCCCCCTCTTGAGATTGTTCTCTCTCTCTCTTTCTCAAAAACTTAAAATTTTAAATAAAGGCTCCCCTTCCTCAACACATATCTGCTGGTAACTGACATATCCAGAAGCTGCAGTCCTGGACCAGGGAGGACCCCTCGGCCCTCCCTTCACCCAAGGAGGACAGTCGGGACAGCCAAGCCCGGCGGGGGCAGGAGGGGCTGAGCCTCCACCGCTGGCCCGCAGGGGCTGAACCGTGCGCTCTCCCCTGCAGGGGCAGCCTGCGAGGTGGGCCGGCAATCTGCTCTGCCCTCCCTGCCTTCCTGCTTTGAACGCGCCGGGGTTCTTTTGCAGATTGAACAGGAGGGTGTCACGGTGAAGAGCAACCCCCACTTTAACCCAGACCCGGATGCAGAGACCCTCTACAAAGCCATGAAGGGGATTGGTGAGTGGATGTCCTCAGCCTTCACTCGAGAGCACCTGTCCACTCTGCTCAAGACTGCTGCGCTCACAGCTCTGCAGAGGGGATGCCATGGAACAGCTTGGGACTCTGGGGCTGACTCCTGGCACCCAGAGAGGCACACAGGCCCCCTCCCCCAGCCCTGGTCTCGGTACCCCCAACCCCAGGGTAGGAGAAGGGGAAGGGTGGTTGCGCCTCCCTGGGAGGAAAGAGAAGGTCATCTGCTGTGCACGCCTATGTGTCCTTGGGTAGGCAGCTTTACCCGGCTGAGCCTGAGGCCTCAGGAACTCTGGACCTGCCCCCTCAGTGTAAATTTCAGAAGGGATGAAGCTGGGGGTTTGTAGGGCTGACCTAGGACACTCAGCGTCCCCCCACTGCTTGGGCCAGGCGCAGGTAGCCTCCTTCCCGTCTCCAGTGTGGATTCCTGAAGCCAGCCAGGGCCCAGAACCACCATTTCTAGATGTACCTTGACAGCATGTTCATGACCCCTACTTCCTATGAGATCTCTACTGTCATCTCCACTTCCCAAAGGAGAAAACTCGGGGAGATGAAGCTGCTTGCCTGCTGGCTGCTGGGGCAGGACTCAGATCCAATTTGTGGGGCCCTCAGTCCTATCTTTCCCCCACATCTATCAGCACAAGTGAAGACAGAATGGGAGGTCCACTGTCTGAGCTCCAAAGGCCCCAGACGGTGTCCAGAGCAGATCAGATCACCAGAGCGTCCTCAGATTCTATCACTCTGAGACTGGCCCCAGGCAGCACCCCAACGCTATGTGAGTAGATGGTGGGGAAAGGACAGAAGGATTTCTGAGTGTCTTATCGATACCATGAAAACCGTCAGGTTTTGGAGCTATCTAGGTGGTGTGTGCCCACTGCTTGGCCACCAAGCAGCTTCCCTCCCTCCTGCTCATCCCCGCAGCCTCCCTGGGGCAGTGGGGGTGCTCACACTGTGCATCCCTGCAGGGACCAACGAACAGGCCATCATCGATGTGCTCACGAAGAGAAGCAATGCACAGCGGCAGCAGATTGCCAAGTCCTTCAAGGCGCAGTTTGGCAAGGTAAAGGTGGGACTGGAGTCAGGTTTGCTTGGGGTGGGGGTGGGGAGGTACTGCTGTGGCCAGAGACAGCCTGGGTGGTGGTGGGGGGTGGGGGGGGAGCTCCACCCTGGACAAGGCCCTTGGCTCGAAGCCAGCTTCTAGAACCATGGGGCAGATAGGGCAGTTACACTAAAACTATTAATTGTTTATCTGAAGTTAGAATTTCACTAGCCATCCTGTGTTTTATTGGGAAAAGCTACCTATGGCTCCTCACACCCCTGGCTTGGTGTCAGGCATCCTACAGTCCAGCCTGACGCCTCCTCCCCTCCACCCCCGTCTCTCACGGAGCTCCATGGCCCGTCCTTGAGCTGTTTCCCCGCCTCTGTGCCTTGCTCATCCTGTTCCCAGAGCCTGGAATGCCCTTCTCTTGACCACACTCAGAGGTGCAGACCAAGCTCTCCTCTGTTCTATGTCACAGGACTCTCTCTTCATCTTGGAGTTTCTTGTGCCCCAAGCCTACTCCCTTTGCCTCCAGGGAACTCCAGGGGGCAGGAAGCACACAGGCTGGACCCCTTTTCTCCCCACCTCCTTCCACCAGCCAGAGTCAGAGCCAGGCACTGGGGGCATTAGCCAAACACAGGAACAAAGGCACACGTAGCCACGGCTGGAGGAAGCCTCCGTCAATGCATGTCATTAGATGGGAGATTGGGCTCAGGAAAGTGAATGGTGAAGTTCTAATATTCCAGGGGCACCAATGTCCTTTTTTATTGTTTTAAATGTCTTTCTCTTTATCTTCACAACTTGCATTATTCTCTGCACTCAGCATTAGGGGGACCTGATGTTTTAAGAGGTTGAGTAAGTTACCCAAGATCTCAGAGCCTATAGGCAACCAGGTTGGGATTTAAATCCAGGTCTCACAAGGTCCTTGGTCCTTTGCTGTGCTGTGCAGATCAGCTGGGTGTGGTCTTGTGGCTTCTTCTGGAGACCAGCATCCCTAGAAGGAGACACACGTGAGATAGATCCCTTAATTCAATCATGCGTCTATTGAGTGTCCGGGGGCTCTGAAGGCACTTGATGATGAGCAGTGACAAATGTGTATTTCGGACCAGCGTTACACTGACAGCTGTTGAGCCGCACACGTCTCTTGGCCAATCCCCTAGGCAATGGTATATAGCAGGAGCATCTATGTCTCCATTTCGCAGGCAAGGGTGATGATGCTCTGAGAGGCTAAGTTGTTGGCCCAAGAGACCCCAGCCGGCACCAGTGCATGGCAAAGCCCACAGGGGAGTCCAGCAGAGCCTGCGAGGACTGGCTGCCACCCTGCTGTCTGCACTCAGGTGGCCACAACATCCAGAACATTGTCCTTCCTTCTTGCATTAGGATCTCACCGAGACCTTGAAGTCAGAGCTGAGTGGCAAGTTTGAGAGGCTCATCGTGGCCCTCATGTACCCGCCATACCGATATGAAGCCAAGGAGCTGCATGATGCCATGAAGGTAACTAAGCAGGTGGGGTGGGGGAGGGGCAGAAACGCCGAGGAGGACTGGGTGGGGGCGCTGCCAGGGACACCTTCCCCCAGAGAGCCTGGCACTGGGAGCTCCGAGCTCCCCTTGAGCCTCTTTTTGAAATGACCAAGCTGGGTGAGCCTGCAGCCGGCGGCCCAGACTGCCCCCACACCCAGACTGGCTGGCCTCTGCCGTCCTGGGGCCATGAGGAAGCCAAAATCGGCACTTCTCCGGACAGCGCCAGACCACGTGTGCAAGAATTAGAGAGCACCGTCTGTCTGGTGCCTCGGATTTCCTATTACTACCACTGCTCCTTCAGCCCTCGCAGATGGTCAGGAGTGAATCAGGGTCCAGCAACTAGATGCATCCTCATAGAAAGGATGCTCACTGGGTGTGCATGCCCAGCATTTTACATCTGTTATCTCTAATCCACCTTCGAGGCGGGGCAGCTCTTTATCCTCAGGACCGATGTGGAGCCTTAGGCCCAGAGAGGTGAAGTGACCTGCTAGAGACCACCCAGCATGGAGGGCAGAGCCGAAACAGAGCTTTCCCATCACCTCGCTTGCCCACAGGATCCACCCCTGGAGACAAACACGTGCGACTTTCCCCACAAACACCCCCAGCGAAGGCCCCCACCAGAGCAGGCAGAGCAGGGACCCGTTCTTCCTGAGACTCTCTCTCTTGCTTCTAGATAAGAGGGGTAGACAGAGCAGGAGGGCACCGGCGGAGCTTTCCGGCAGACAGTGGTTTTTATCCACAGGGCTTGGGAACCAAAGAGGGAGTCATCATTGAGATCCTGGCTTCTCGGACCAAGAACCATCTGCAGGAGATAATGAAGGCATATGAGGAAGGTAAGGGAAGGTGAGGGGCGCCAGGTAAAGGCTCACTTGAAAATGGCCACAAGCTTTGGCAGCCTGGCAGAGGACAGGGGACCAGCAGTGCACTGAGCCTTTCTGGGCCTTTCCACACACGGGCGCTAAACACCTACTGTGTGCCTGGTCCTGTGCCTGATGGTCTCTAAGCCCCCTTAAGCCCAAGGGCTGCTGGGCAGAGGGGCACGCACCCTAAGCTCTCTGCCTCTTGAAGACATGGCCTTGCTGTGGGTCCAGGGCTGTGTCAGCACTGGGCAGGGCTGGCTCCAAGCTGGCTGGACACAGGCTGACCCTGGGGACTGTGGGGAGCCCTGTTGCAATGGAGGGGTGGGGGGCGGAGAGCAGACCACAGGCCAGCTCTCATGGAATCTACAGGATTCAATGTAAACAGAGGTAAGCATGTCCTCCACGTGGTCTGTCTGGTGGGCAACGTGCCCAAAGGCTCTGGCTTTGCCAAACCACAAATGAAGCGGGCTTCCTGGCCTGGCCCACCTTTGCGACTGGAGCTGGGTTGCCAATCTGTGCTGCTTCCTAGTTCAGAATGACCACCAGGTGGTGGAGCCTCTGCCATTCAGACGCTTGGTGCATAAACCCACTCCGTGTGACTCGTTCTTATCAGCAGGCTTTAACCGGCGGAAGTGTGGGAAGTGGGGCTGGGAGGGGGAAAGCGGGTCTGTGCCTCACATGTCTGTTTCCCCTGCAGACTATGGGTCCAGCCTGGAGGAAGACATCCAAGCAGACACCAGCGGCTACCTGGAGAGGATCCTGGTGTGCCTCCTGCAGGTATCACGGTTCCGGGCTGCTAGGAGCCCCTTGCCTGGAGGACCCCAGCAGATGGACTCCAGGGAGCGGTTCTTGGACAGAGCTGTTGGGGTGAGGTGGAGGTACCGCCAAGGTACAGCCCGAGTGGCCTGGGCTCATTGGGTACCTCCCAGCGTGGTTGGAGGCTTCTCACACCTGCACCTCCCAGACGGCCACACGGGGGCGCCCTAGAACTGGGAGGAAAGTGCCCTGTCCCCTAGTGGGTCCTTCACACACAGCCCATGCAGACACTCTGCTTTCCTCAGCTCACTGATTCCCCTAGCTCAGCACGAGGCAGCCATTACTACTCTTATTTTACAGATGAGAAAATCTGATCCTGGAGAGGACAGCTGGCCTGCTGAAGTGGCCATGGCCAAAAAGCTGTAGAGCCCTGCCTTCCCTCCTGTGTGGCTCTCCCCTCTGCGCCAGCTTCTCTGCTGGGCTGGCCTCCCTTACATAGTCACCCTTTCTGTTCCTAGGGCAGCAGGGATGATGTGAGCGGCTTTGTGGACCCAGGCCTGGCCGTCCAAGATGCACAGGTGAGGCTACATTAACACCCTCTGCCGCTACTGCCCCATGGGCCTCCTTCCCCACCCTCGGCCACCTAGACTCTTGGGGCTGATGCCTGAGAGCCTCCCTCAGCCCGTCTGCCCATCTGGGTTCTCTTTGGCACTAAGCTAGGCTGGGACCCAGCCTCTACCTCTGCAGACCTCTATCGTCTTGGTGTTCCAGGAGGGAAGTGAGGGTGTTGGGGAGACTCAGAAACAGGAAAGGGAATGACTTGGCGGGGGGGTCTGCTGGAGCTCTGTCCTGGCAGGAACAGCCCACCAACCTAGGGACTTGAGGCCTCTGAGGACCAGAAGGGCATATGCAGATCGCTATAGTTCTGCCTGCTGGCAGAGTGCTTAGAGATGCCCAGAGACAGAGCAAAGCCTCCGGGGGAAGCAGGGGAGTTCCCAGAGTGGCTTCTGGCCTGGTACTCAGAAGGGATTTTCACCGACCTGGTGGGAGGGTCGGGGGAACCCCCACCTCCCTGCTCCCCTTCATGGGCTTGTTGCGGCTGTCCCAATGCTAGGATCTGTATGCAGCGGGCGAGAAGATTCATGGGACTGACGAGATGAAGTTCATCACCATCCTGTGCACGCGCAGTGCCACGCACCTGATGAGAGGTACCGGGGAGGGAGGGATGCAATGTCAGGCTGCACAGGGCACCCTGGCCACAGGGCTGCTCCCGTCACGCTGAGTAGCCAGTGTGCATCCTTGTCTAGTCATGAAGCTGGGGAGAGAGACAAGGAGACCTGGACCCTTTCCCCGGCAACCAAGCAGAGGTCAGGGGCGGCATGTGGATATGCAGTCTCTGATCTGAGATGCTGGGGGTGTCACACTGAGGCCTGTATATCCCTTAAGGGAGGATGTCTCTCTACAGTGTTTGAGGAATATGAGAAAATCGCCAGCAAGAGCATTGAGGACAGCATCAAGAGTGAGACCCACGGCTCCCTGGAGGAGGCCATGCTCACAGTGGGTAAGAGATGGGGCTCGGCGACCAGACACGCAGGTGACCACAGTCACAGGGCTCGGCAGTGGGGCAGTGCCCAGGGTAGCAATTGTAAGCACCTGGGTACCTATTTCCACCTTCAAGGGACCACCGCTGGCCACCACCAGGCCACACAATACATGTACCCTTCAGCTCAGCACACTGGAATTATTCCAGCCCCAGTGTCTTCAGTGTGCTTTATCCCACCAAGGACTATTCTCGGTACTGCCCACATAATCCCCGTGCTGTGTGAGTGTGTGAGTGTGAGCATGAGGCATGTGAGAATAAGTGAGCATGTGAATGTGTGTGCACATTTGCAGGATTATGTCAGACCCAGGGCCTGCGCTTCCCTCCACCAGCCACACAGTGAAAATTCTGGGTCTACTGTGAAGCCCTGAAGAAAGTCACCTGTCTAGACCTTAGCCAGCAGCCTGATCTGTTCCTTGGTTGCTGATTGAAGAAATGATGATATATAGTTGGAATCCACACTGAGAGATTGATGGTCTGATGTCAGGGAGCATTGAGAGCCTTCCCTAAGGCATGACCACACCTTGGGGGCCAGAACTGAGATCACAGGGAGGTGAACCATTGCACAGCTGAGGCCCAGGGGCAGAGGGACTTTTCCTCTCCTCCCTCCTATGATGGAGCCAAGGTCAGGGCCCTGGGGCTAGGACACTCACCTCCACACCAGGCTGTCCCCATTTGGTGCTGGGCAGTCAGGGGAATTCCACAATGTGTCTGGGTCTTTCAGGGTGGCCTGAGGCATCTGGAACTCCCCAGCAGGCTTTGACTGCCATGATAAAAACCAGTCTAGGTTGGAGCATCTCAGCGCCGCCCCCCCCCCCCCCCCCCCCCCCCCGCTCCAATCTCAGTGAGTCAGCCCCTGTATGGAGTTTGAACAACCTCCTGATAAATCTTCAGGCAGGGAAAGGCAAAGGTGTGCAGTGCTCTATTGGGCTGGGCACTTCCTATCGTCCTTGAAGACTCCAATCATTCCCTTCACAGATGAGGATGGTGTAAGGCAGGCAGGTCAGAGAATGAGGTCGTGCCAGACCATGGGCAGGCCATTGAACCAATCGGCCTACTTCAAGCAAGACCCACACTCTTTCTGCTGCCCTGGGCTAGAGAGCTGTCCCTGACCCAGATGCCAAGTCTCTGAAACAGAATCCATGAAAACGAGCATGGGACCCACCCTCTGGTGTCCTTAGTGCTCTGGGGCTGGGCCCCATCTGTCACATGGAAATTCAAATGATAAGTGACATGTAAAGTGGGCACTCTGAGGCCAGTGGTCACCATAACCAAGGCCCTTCTGTGGAGCTGAGTGGCTGGCTTCTTGGCAAAGCTGGCTCTGGAGTATAAGAGCCCAGGGGCTGCCCTGGACAGAGCCATTCTCCGATGCGCCATCTCTGTGGACCCCAGTGCATTTACACCTCCTGCTTTGCCTGCTTGCTCTGTGCCTTCGGACCTGTGCCCAGTGCCTCCAAGCTTCCTTCCCTGTCCCACCCCACCCAATACCCTAGTTTTTGAACTACACAAAGCATAAATAAATAGGCCAAGAATTGCAGAAGGCTAGCCCTTAAGACCCAAGGCAGGACATAAATAGATAAACATGCATGCAATGCAGCCTACAACCTCTAGTGTTAACAGAGCTTTCCTGTTTGCCAGTGAAATGCACCCGGAACCTCCACAGCTACTTTGCAGAGCGACTTTACTACGCCTTGAAGGTAATTATTCTGTCTTGTGTGTCCCCTATTATCAGCCCTACTGGGCTCCAACTGCAAAGCCAAAGTGTTCAGAGCCACTACCATCTTCGACACTGTGTCTTCTCTTATTCCAACCTCTTGTGATCAGAATGCTGTAGTCTTCAAACGGCAAACTGAGACTGGGGAAGGGAATCCACACCTTCTGAGGGTGAATCTGAGTAGGTGTTTTCACAGGTGTTCACTGTACTGAACTTCTATCACAATCCTGTGAGATCTGTGTCATAACTGCTATCTTAGAGGTGGTGAAACTAGGGCTTGTGGTCAAGGTCACACAGCTTGTAAGTGGCTGAGCCTTGATTTGAACTCAAGCCAGTCCACCTGTCCTTTTTATCTCACCATGTGACCTCCCTGAGGGAGCAGGAAGTCAAGGCACCCTTTGAATGGAAGTTCAGAGCGAGATTGCCACATGCGGTGCTCCACTTTCTCGTACATCCCAGACATGCCAGTCTGGGTCTGTCTGTTGTCCAAGAGCCTGCAGTAGCCATTCAAACAGATGTCCAGGCCACTTGTATCAGGTGAAGTTTCCAGCACCTGGAACCAAATTGGAAGATAGACATTCAAAGTGATTCCCTGAGACTGAAGTCAGTGCCCACCTTTTCTGATCTGTGCTTGCTGGTACCACCTGAACTTAGAGCCCTAAGTTCTCTGGCCAGGAAGTGAGAGAGGGCATGGGGTTCCCTGGGCCATGGTGCCATCTGACATGAGACTAGTCAAAGATGCAAGTAATCAGAAAGGTCCTGCTTATGACTTAGCCAGTTGAGCTGAGCTTCATGATGTTGCTACCTGAGGAAAAAATCTTATTCCTAGAGCGGCGAGTATTCTGTGCCTAGAATCTGATGTGGCAAACCCAGCAAACAGTGCACTCTGGGACATTTGGCTCCCAATAGGGGCTGATACGTGGGCAATGAGGGAGAGAGATTGAGGGAATGGAGATCCTGAGCTACTAAAGCACCCCTCTCAGTGCTTCACCTGTGAAGCAGAGGCTCATTCCTTCATCTCTGTCCCCCGTGAAAGTCCCCTGCACCCAAAGCACAGATGTGTCCATCATCACAGAGATGGACCAGAAAGACAAGCAGTGATTGATGCTTGCTGCATCTTGTCCAGGGAGCAGGGACACGCGATGGGACCCTGATAAGAAACATCGTTTCAAGGAGCGAGATTGACTTAAATCTCATCAAGTGCCAGTTCACGAAGATGTATGGCAAGACCCTAAGCAGCATGATCATGGTAAGCCATGAGTTCCTGATTCCATCCCTCGTTTGAAACAGAGGCATTACTGGAAGACCTGGATGGTGTGACCAGAGTCCTAAGTCACATGTGCCCATCCCTTCCCAGCGGGTGTCACACTCGAGCATTCGTTGCCATGCAGTGTGTAAAGGGATCAACAAGGGGGTGAATGTGGCTAGGGCTGGGAGGGGACATGGGCAGGTGCACAGAGACCAGATCATGGAGGCCCATGTACATCGCACCCAGAGTTGGCTTTGCGCTCAAGCTATGGTTGCCCCTTTGAAAATGACACACTGAATCCTCTCAGAGGAAGGAAGCCATATTCAAATGTCAATGACAATAAATAGTTTGGTAGGAACTGGGTAATAGCTTTCAAGTCCAGACTTAGATAGTCCTAGCAGCACAATCTTAAGGAGATAAATCAGATGGGCTCCTGCATGTTGCCTACCAGATGCTGGTCAGTGAACCTTCTGGAGCTGAGAAAATGCAGTGACAATCACACCACTGTGAATCATACCTCTTCTAGTTATTAATGCAAATGTGGCCTTGACAGTTTCGTTAGCAGAAACCAAACCTCGAGAAATATAACCCTGAGTCTCCATTGGCTGCTAAGTCAAGTCTCTAGTTATTTCACAAATGTCTGTTGTCAACCTCACTGTCCAAGAAACACATAGCTCACAGTAAGTTAAAAAGACATTTCTACTTTACAGTGCTTCAGGATAGGCCAGTGCGTAGGTGGGGGTGAGGAACAGTGGAATTATTCTTTGTTTTGTTTTTGGCTTTCCAGCCAGTATCGTCAAAAGATAGGAGAGCTACCCACGACCCAGCCCCAGTTCCTGACATGTCACCTGCAGCAATGACTTTCCCAGCATCCAGTCTCAGGAGAGTGTTAGGGATTTTTTTTCAACCATACATGGCTTCTGTAGCATCAGGGAAATGTGTCTACCTTCTCACCATCGCAGTTAGATGCAGCCACAGGCAGACTTCAGAGGGACAAAAACTCTGAGCAAGAATGGTCACAGCATCCAGCATGTAGACTTCATGGAGAGTTAGCAGGCCAATTAGTGTCTGATCAATGTAATCGATGATCTAGTTCCTGGGCTAGACATACAAGAAGCCCACCTTCGTTAGGTTTTGCCTACAGCTGTCACTCACGGAAATTTAGTTGAAACTGGCAAATATTTTCTTTTTATATAAACCACTCTCTGTAGATGTCATTAAGGCAAAAATGATTTCCAACAGGGAAACCAGCATTAAAACTCCTGTATAGAAATTAATAGAAAAATTTATAAAAGCTCCGTGGATAACTTTACACTTGCACATTTAAAAAGATAGATACAATGAATAGTTCTCTGGAAAAAAGCAAAGTAACACAGAAACAAAAATACTGTATTACAAAAACTGTTTTGTGAATAGTAAAAAAGAGAGAGAAAGGAAGGAAAGCAAGAAGGAAGGGAGGGAGAGAGAGAGGAAAGAAAGAAGGAAGAAAGGGAGGGAAGAAGGAAGGGAGGGAGGAAGGAAAAAATTTAAAATGTAGTTAAAAATCTACAAGAAAATTTCAGGCCCAAATAATGATTATACAAGCAAATCTGACAAAACAGATAAGGACTAGGTGATTCCCATCAGGCATACACTGCTGTAGCGCATAGGAAAGGGGAACTCGCCTGGGTGGCTCAGTCAGTTAAGCATCTGACTTTGGCTCGGCTCAGGTCATGATTTCACAGTTCATGAGTTCCAGCCCTGCATCAGGCTCTATGTTGACAGCTCAGAGCCTGGAGCCTGCTTCAGATTCTGTGTGTGTCTCTCTCTCTGCCTCTGCCCCTGCTCCACTCATGCTGTCTCTCTCTTCTTCAAAAATAAATTAAAAAAAAAAAACATTAAAAAAAAAAAAGGAAAGGGGAACTTGCCCCGCCCAACCACTTCTATCCTCACCCTCCCCTTTTCCTCAACCACATAAAAAGGGAGTCGGTGATATGCCTTCCCCTGTTCTCCCTGGCTCTGTGCACAGACCCTTGACCAGCCAGACCTACCAGGACCTGTGTCATTGCCAAGGGGGACTGGCAGACCACAGAAATGGCATTCAGCCATTGGCCTTGCAGGGTCTATCCTATGTGAGCCAGCTGCTGAGCAGGCAAGTCCCAGTTTCCCCTGCTATTCACTCCTCAGCACATCTTAGCAACGCTCGTTTCAGCATCAAGGTCATCTGATAGATGAACAGGAGTCTCAGGGTGGAGACAGGACTTGCCTCAGCCACAGGGTCAGTGAGCGATAGAGCTGTGGTCTGAGTTCTGCGTGGACCCAAAGCCTGGGCTCTCACCACCTCCCACCCACCCCTTGACTCTAGGTTTGGCCCTGAGGGCCCCGCTTTCGCCTCCATTCAACATAAGTAGGTGTTCAATAAATGATGGGTTGTGTCGAATAAATGAATGGTGGCACTTGCCCGGGTCCTGACATGGAGAAGAGTCTTGGGACAGTTGATGGGGGTGGGGGACCATCTAATGCCTTCCTTGCTCCAGAGCAGAACTGTGTCTCTGATTCGTTTTCTGCATGAAGCTCCCCTGTACTAGTAAGAGAATCAGACAGAGATAAAAAGAAATTGTCTGAAATGGAAAACAAGAAAAGGTGGGTGACAGCATGGGCCTCTGTCATGGGAACCCACACAGGGATGTAGGGATGTGCCAGGTCTCTTCCCGAGGACCATGACTCGTAGTCATAACAGCAGGTGACAGATATGCCTTGACTCTCTTGTCCCCCCCGTCCTCAGGGAGACACCAGCGGTGACTACAAGAACGCCCTGCTGAACCTGGTGGGCAGCGACTCCTGAAGGCTCAGCGTGGGGCAAAGACCAAGAAGCCGGAGCCACGGGGCCCTGCCTGTTCAACCTTGGCCATGGATTGCAGGGGGGTGGTGGGGAGGGGTCGGAGGTACAACTTGCCTTTCAGTCTTCTATCTCCCAGCTTCTAGCGCTTTCCAGCTTTCTCTGCCTGGGGCTCCTCCCTCCACTGCCCGCCCTTTCTGGTCAGTTCCCGGTATGAGCACATTGCCACCTCAGTAGAACTTGACCTGACAGACACCTCGGTGAAGGGGTTGTTTCTTCCTCCGCACAAGGAGCTTCCCAAGCTTGACGGGCCACAGAGTCACCTGTGCCCAGGTCGTGCAGATACACAGCCCCATCCCGTCTACGACATCAGGGTCTGCAGAGAAAAGACCAGAGAATATGGAATTTGCATAAGCATCTCAGCTGAGACGCCTCTCTGAAAGGCCACCGGGTGGGTGGGGAGGGGGGGGGGCCCGCAGAACCCATTTGCTTCAGAGCACACGCGTGTGAGCCGCTGAGAGAGAAACACATACATTAGGGCCCACTGGGAGGTCACTCACATTCATTCACGAGCCTCCTCTAAAAAATCTAACAACTTGAGGCTATAGGTAGAATAAAAAATTCCCTTGCTGTCTAATAGAGAAAGCTGCAAATCCACCCCACAGACGCCGTGTCCTGAGGGGCCCGGGCTTATCCCGTCCTTGATCAGACGAGCTGCTCTTTCCTCCCCTGACAGGAGCCGGGGGCATCTCTCCTTCAGACCAAATGTGTTATGCTTTTCAGAAAAATAAAGATTTGTACATTCTCATCTAAGTGCCTTTGGATTTCTATCAGTGGCCAGAGAAGGACCAATTTAATTTGTCGGCATTCATGTGATCTTTAAAAGCTTGGGGTAGGGGCACCTGGGTGACTCAGTAGGTTAAACGCCTGACTTTGGTTCAGGTCATGATCTTGCGGTTCATGATTTTGAGCCCCGTGTAGGGTTCTGTGCTGACAGCTCAGGGCCTGGAGCCTGCTTCAGATTCTGTGTCTCCCTCTCTCTCTGACCCTCCCCTGCTCACGCTCTGTCTCTCTGTCTCTCAAAAATAAATAAACATTAAAAAAACAAAAAGAAAAGAAATTTTTTAAAAAATAAAAATAAATAAATAAAAGCTTGGGGTGGGGGCAGGAGCGCTGAAGCAGACCTGACCACACAGGTGGGCCTTTCCTCATGGGAACCCGCTGAGCGAATTGTGCCCGTTGTCATTCTGGGGATGACACTTTTCTGGGGGGGCCTCCTGATTTATCGCCTAAATCATGATCTCTAAGAGTTGGGGAGGGGAAGGCGCTTTAAAAATCATGTGCTCCTATTCCAACCCGTGTCTTGTCTCCCTTCCATGGCATCCTTCCAGAGGGTTCCAGCTGCCTGGGCTGCCGCCAGGGATGGAGACTCCCAGCCTGCTTGGACAGCCCCATCCCTGAGGAACCGGGCAGGCCAGAGAGATAGAACAGCAGGGCTTTTGGGCTCACACAGCTGAGAGGGAGCTGTGCCCTATGCCAGCTGTGTGACTCTGACCTAATCACATCCTCTGTCTTTCTCTGAGCCTCGTTTCCCTTACCTTTAAATGTAGGAATGCAGCCCTCGTTACTTGATGCATTTCAAGCCACCCAAAAGCTACTGGTGCAAGACCATCACTTCATGATGCTCATGGGTTCTGCGGGTCAGGAATTCAGCAGGGCCCAGGGCAGATAACCCAGCTCTTCCCTGGCAAGTCTGGGGACTTGGAAAGATCCGAAGGTTTCAGAGAACTCTACAGCAGGATCCTGGAATCATCTAGAAGCTTCTTTCACTCACATGACTAGGCTCAGCTGAAAGTGTCACCTAGCACTCCTGTGCGTGACCTCTCCAATGTGGAGAGGGTCGTGGGACTTCCTTACGTGGCAGGTCAGCGCGGCATTGCCTTCTGTGATGAACTTCAAGAGTCGCACAGATCACGTTCACCACCCCCTGTCAGTCAAAGACATCACAGACCAGCCCACCTTCAAGGGAAGGAGACAGAGGCCCCATCTGTCAATGGGAGGAATGTCAAAGAATCAGGGATCTTTCCCGTTAATCATCACACAGCATCAGTGTAAGCTATTGAAGAGGTGCAGCACCACTGCCCCTCATGAATGGTAGGGCTGATGCAGGGTCCCAGAGCCCCCCGCGCTGCAGTCCCTAGTGCTGTCTGCAGGGCACCAGGTGGCGATTATTCTTTATTTCATCTTTTTTTTTTTAAATGTTTTATTTATTTCTAGTAGAGAGAGAGGGAGAGACAGCGTGAGCAGGGGAGGGTCAGAGAGAGAGGGAGTCACAGACTGAAACAGGCTCCAGGCTCTGAGCTGGCAGTCAGCACAGAGCCCGACGCGGGGCTCGAACCCACGAACCGCGAGATCATGACCTAAGCGAAAGTCGGACGCTTAACCGACTAAGCCACCCAGGCGCCCCTCATCTTTTTTTTTTTTTAACTCAAGTCCTGCCCTGAACTTCCCTTCTGGGCTGAGTCACTGAGTCACTCACTCTCTGCCTTTAGAAAAGACTCAGAGGATTTCTCTGCCCTGCAATCCCTTTGGAACGCCAGTTCTCGGGCATAGGATTGTCTTGAAGCCCACCCCAAAACTAACCTGACGCAGCCAAACAGGAGCCTCGAGAAAAGCTGCAGCCAAGGAGACAGCTCAAGAAACAGGGAATCTGTTTTAGCAGAACCATGCACTTCCTCCATCATTCTGGATGGGTGACAGCAGAGCTTCTCTCCGGCCCCACAGGGCGCAGCAGGTCTCCTGACCTGAGAGTAGCGAGATGTCCTCTGCCCCTGGGGCCACAGCTAGAGCAGGAAGGGTGGTCGTGTGGCCTCTGTATGAGGTGGCTCCTGTCAAACTGAGGGCATTCACCAGGTCGGTGTTACCAGTCTACTCTCATGGCAGCTGGGAAAGAGGGCACTGGCTGGCAAGGGGACATATCCAGGACACTGAGAGTGTCCTCTGCACCTCCAAATCATTTTTGCTACAATAACCTTTTGAGCCCTTCTGATAAAACACAGTCCTAAGGTACTTTTACAAATGCCACGGGAATTTTTTATTTGTATTTTCTTTTTAATGCATCTGTGTTCTTAAAAATAATTTGGGGTCTGATCAGTTTGAGTTCAGCAAAGAAGGAAAAAGAGAGGCTAGATACTCCCCGATTGTAGCCTTGCCATAACTCTGTAATGAAAACTGCTGTCTGTACCTCTCTTCAGGGGATCCTATGTTCGTAAACTCCCTCTCAATCCTCAGATCCAAGCCTGTTCAGCCTCGGAAGCTAGACCTGGTCTCTTCCTCTGTAATGCCGGCTGGTGGGGAAGGAGGACCCGATCTAGTAAACTGAGTTTGGGGTTTGTCTTACAGCATGATTTGAGACATAAGTTTCACTTGGCACAGGATTCCGTGAGTTCTCCACTGGTCTTTCATAAATTCCTTTTCTGCTTAAACTGTCCAGAGTGGATGCTCTTATGAGTAACCAAAAAGTCTCTCCATTCTGAAGAATTCATGCCCTTATGGCATCAGAGGATAATTACCTGTTTATGTGTCTCCCTCAAAAAGGCTGGGTGGCCCAACAGGGCAGGTACTTGGTTTTATTCATTCCTGAACATTCAGTGCCTATCATATAGCAGGCATTTGATGGATGTTCTTGAATGAACAAAAACAAACAAGAGTGCAGGCTTTGGGGACAGAAGATCCAATGAGCCAGGGGGCCTGAGCCAATCCTTCATCAACTCTGATTCCAAGAAGACACTCTGGGCCTCTTGGACTCTCTGAGGAGGGACACCTACTCCCCTACTCATGAAAATAGACCTCACGGGAAAGACAGCTTCTCTCAACTCCTTTGGCACCTGCTTGGCACCAGGCCCTGTTTCAGGTTTCGACTGTCCAATGACGAACCAGCCCAATAGGTCCGTCCCTCCCTGAGACCCTTTGGAAGAGCTCAGCCCTCCCCACCTACCAACCACCATGCAGTGGGCCATGTAGACATGGCTAGAACCGAATTGGGCTTGGCCTTTTCTGGGTTTATCCTTGAGCAGGGGAAGGGTCACCTTGCTGAGAACTGAACACTTGGGCAAAATCAAGATTGTCTGGGCAAGGAGTAGGAGAGGAAACAGATTCATGCTCAGCACCCCAGACTTCTGTTGCCATGGCCAAGCACTCTAACTGTAGCCAGGTTGGAGCTAACCAGGTAAGGCTTTGTAAGAAAGGTGATACTCGAGCAGAATCTTTTCTTTTTCTTACATGTGTATTTATTTTTGAAAGAATGAAAACAAGGGAAGGGCAGAGAGAGGGGGACAGAGGATCTGAAGCGGGCTCTGCACTGGCAGCAAAGAGCCCAATGTGGGGCTCAAACTCGTGAACCGCGAGATCATGACCTGAGCCAAAGTCAGATGCTCAACCGACTGAGACACCCAGGCGCCCCTTGAGCAGAGTTTTGGAGGATGACTCAGTGCTTACCAGGTAGACAAGACGTAGGAGGACATTCCAGGCAGAGGGAAGAATGCAAACACAGCTGGGCAGATCTGGTCTCTATCAGATTACAGGAATGGGATGTTCAGGCCTCCCGAAGTGAGAGAGTCAAGAGATAAAGGTGTTGTCAGGAGCCACGTCAGGGAGGACTCTAGCTTTCAGACTGAGAAGTTCATAGGATTTCCAGAGACAATGGGAGCTTTTAAGGGATCAGGAAGGGGAGCATCTAGGATGGGCCTGGGTAAGATTTCCCAAGACCCCAGAGAAGATGAGTTTGGCTACATGAATCTGGAGGTCAGGAGCCCAGCGCTGAGGCCTCTGCAACCACAGACAGTGATTCCCTCCAACCTCCTAGCCTAGTAACCTGTGGTCCTGGGGCTACTTCCCTAGGAGGAGACTGGCCTTGGCCGCCTTCTGTCCTGGTGTGGGGAAGTCTTTTACAAGGTTTTGATGTAGCTCCAGACCACTGCATCTTTGACTTTGTGGTAAGGAGCAAAAGTGTTTCAGTTCCAACAGCTCCCATTTCATCACATTAACAGCTGAAATAGCGTGGTGGCCCTGGGCATGAGAGTGAGTGTCTAAGGACTCTCATGGCCCCTTGTAGGTATCCAAGTTCCCTCTTGGTATTGGGCCAAAGTGGGCCTGCCTGATGATGGCTCAGTGGCCTATAACTACCTTTGTTCCTCCACCAGCCCCTTCCTGGCCCTTGGGCTGTGATATGGCACCATCCTGAGGCCACCAGCTTGGACGGAACACACCAGCTGGGCCTTCTACACCACGGGTGAAGGCACTGCTCTGCCCTCCTCCCCACTTCTCCGTGTGACCACACACAACTTATAAGGCCTCCCTCTGCCACTGGAGAGAAAATACACCACCACCCTTGCTATCTGGACTCAGCATCCAATCCACGCTGCAGGCAGCACCCAGCTGGCCTGGAAACCTGCTCGCACAGTGCCCTCTTGTGGCTGAAAGGCAGTCAGCGCAGGAACTGACCCCCACTGCCCAGCAGAGAAGGCTGAGGGGATGTGGAGGGGAAACCCTGACCTTCTTCACCACTGTGGGGGGGAAGTTCTGTGTTTTCTTGTATACCAGTTCTAGAGGGCTGTGTGTCCTCAATGCCAAACAGTACCTTTCTCCAAATAGTGTTCAAAAACAATTATCTATACTGATCCTCAGTAGGTCATTGCTATACTCCTTTGGCCCATTTTGTTCCCTGGGGAGTGACCTGCCTAAGGCCACCTGGCTAGACACAACCAAGTTACATCTTGGGCTTCAACACCCAAGTGCAGCTTCCACTGACTCAC